ATTATTGATCGAATTGCATTACGACTCAAGAACAACAATTGTTCTGAGTGTAGTTAGTGTTCATAGTAATGCAGGTGCTCTCAAAACAAAAATAATTAGAAGTTCAGTCATCAAAGAAACCAATACCATCTTTTGTGTATGAACATAGATAAATACGAAAATGCAAAGCAATTGAGAAAGCTTGACATGTCATTGCCTCCAATAACAATTGCATGAAACAAAAATTGATTTTGAAGGAATACACCAAGATCTATATACAGATCGAACTCCACTTGGGGCGGGGCCTTACCAGGCTAGAGTTTCTCCATCCCTCTCCACTCATTTGAGAATTGTAAACTCCACATTATCTCAAAATAGCACTTAAACACCAAATACCCAACATCCTTATTCCATTATGTACCATGCCTAGTAGTCAGAGCAAGGAAGTGTCTCAATGGTCCTACATTTCAGACCTAAAAATTCAGATCTCAATTGTCGAATCATACACCATGCCTGTTTATTTGAGCATAAAAGAGTTTCAAAGGTTTTTAATTTCACATCTAAATTGTGGCAAATTATCATAACTTTTACGTGCCCAATACTCTTCAGATGCAACTTGGGAATGATAATAGAGTAAATGACATAGTGGAATAAGAAATGTAAATGATTTGTTGGAATTCAATGTCACTTTGCAGTCCAAAGACTAAACTCTGAATAAGGTTTATATCTTACCCTGCGGATCACAAGTAGAATTATGACTAGGTACATCAGTAAAGCAATTTTAGTAGCAGACGCATAGTTCTAGTTTTCAAGAAATTAGTATTTGATCAAAGTCGGCATGCACTTACTCAACAATGCCGCCNCATCAGTAAAGCAATTTTAGTAGCAGACGCATAGTTCTAGTTTTCAAGAAATTAGAATTTGATCAAAGTCGGCATGTCACTTACTCAACAATGCTTTACTCCCTAATCAGTCCTATCTAGGGCCATGTCTAACCAAGAAAAACTGATGATTCCATGGGGACCTAGAAATACGCAAGGTCATACAAAGAACAAATATAATTGCAATACCTCAATCAATGTTGCCAGTTTTGGCCAGCCTACAGTAATGTCATAGTTCTTCAAATCCAGCAAGAAGGGCTGAAATCTTTCAATGAATGGCGCACAAGCTATATCCTCCTGAAGGACACGGATATGAACTTAAGAGACCACAGACATCAAATCTTGTCAAATCAAAAAGCACAATTTTCCCTAATCTTACAATTTTTACCTCATCTAATATAATTCTCTTCACAAAATGGGATGATAATTAATGGGACTCTTCTGAAAAGCCCTAAGATGAAGACACGTGTCCTCGGGTTTTTGGAAACAGTGTTGCCCGGATGTAAGCACCATCGGCGAAGAGCGTCCTCTCCCCCGAGGTACCCCTTAAAGGATCACACATTCGGGTGCATTATACAACACGTGTCCTCGGTCGCCGTGTAGCTCGGGAACATACCACCCTCGGTCCCCGAGGCGAGCCTTTCCTCGGTGCCGAGGGTCACTCCATCCTGGACGCTTCCTCTACTCCCGGATAAAGCTACTGACGTACGGGGCATCAGCCTATGCCAGTCTAGACTATTCATCATGACCTCGCCTAACGCAAGTAATGTCAGAACGTGCTGGAATACCGACGTCACAGCCAATAGGAGATGGACGCGTGGCAAATAATGTCACATCAGAAGCAGACAAACCGCATGCCGTTGCTGACACGCGACTTGGGACAGCAAACAATTAATTGCACCCTTCTGTTGACGAGACCGCATTCAATGCGGTAAGGTTCGGATATGAAAGGCAATAAATGCTCCTATTACAGAGCATTTATTGCATCCTTCCCGACAGGAGCATATTGTACCGTCGGCGTCCCGACAGACTCAGCATTGATTGTTCGGGACCCCGAGCAATCAATTAGAGAAGACATTCCTCATCAAATGATTACACACGCTACCTGTGCCTGATGAT